GAACAAAACAGTAAAGAACAAAACCAATAAAACCAAAACACTGGAGACACTACAGGACTTTATAAGAAGATAATAGTCAACCAGAATGGGCATCACAATGTCTTCACAAGACAAATCTACTGGAAATCTTGGAGACATAGAGGTAGGCAGAGAATGCATGAACAAAAGACAAACTGCATGGGAAACACTTCAAAGAATCAACAACTGGGATCTCATACTATTGAAAAGCTTTTGCACTTCAAAAGAAATCACCAACAGAGGGAAAAGAAAACCCACAGAATGGGAAAAACTTTAGCCAGCAACCCCTAAGACAAAGGACTTATATCCAGAACATATAAAGAATTGAAAAACACCAAGCCCCTCAAATTCAAAGGCCCTCTCCAAAAATGGGCGTCTGAGATGAACACACAGTTCTGAGGTGAAGATATACAAATGGCAAATAAATACATGAAGAAATGTTCACCATCACTGGTCATTAGCGAAATGCAAATTAAAACAGCATTGAGATTTTATCTCACTCTGGAAAGAATGGCTGCCATCAAGAAATCAACTGATAACAAATGTTGGTGAGGCTGCAGGGGAAAAGGAACACTGCTCCACTGTTGGTGGGAGTGTAGACTGGTGCAGCCACTACGGAAATCAGTATGAAGATTTCTCAGAAGGCTAGGATTGGAAGTTCCATTTGATCCAGCTATTCCTCTCCTGGGTATTTTCCCACAAAAACTGAAAAGGTCATGTCACAGTGATATATGTGCACAATTTGTAATAGCAAAATCTTGGAAACAACCAAAATGCCCATCAACCACGGAGTGGATGAAAAAGATGCAATATTTTTATACTCAGCTATAAAGAGGATGATCTCTTGAGGCCTTCATACGTAAACGGAGGCAACTTGAGACTATCTTCATAAGTGAAATAAATAAAAATTATATTTATAATTATCATATTGTGTATCTAGTGTAAAAAATAGTAAGAACTGTAGGAGCAATAAAACCCAAAATGTGCAATTGCTCTTGTGAAAAAGAGAGGAAAAGAAAGTGCTCCAATGGATACAACCGCATGTACGTTTAAGTGTGCAAGACAGACAACCACATTACTAAGTTTTTTTTTTTTATTTAAGGAGAAAAGAAAAGAAAAAAAAACAGTGCAGGGGTACAAGTTATACAGATTTACAGAAGAAAAAAATGCGCAGTAGGAAATCACTAGTTAATGGATTACATATTGCCATCTTAGAAATAATTGTTCAAGTCACAAAATTAAAGCTTGTAGAGTGGACATTCCAACAATGATACTGCAAACAGTTCTGTTCAATGATCCAATAAAACTCTGTGATATCATTTTCTATCTTATACACTTAAATATACATGCAGTTATATAGTTTAGAGCACCTTCTTCTCCTCTCCTTTGTACAATGACTATTACACATTTTGGGCTTCATTGCTCCCACGGTTCTTATTGCTTTTTTGGAAGAGAGTAAAACCAAATGTGACATAACAGAACAGAATCGGTCAAGTCAAAAGGGTGGACATAATAGATAATATAAAAACATAATACAAGGTGATCAACAATGGTTACCATAATGCCTCCCGCTATCTCTAATAGAATTGCCTATATCATTAGTTGTAATACAATTGAACAAAACAGTAAAGAATAAAACCGACAAAACCAAAACATTAGAGACATTGTAGGTCTTCAAAAGTAGATAAAAGTCAACGAGAATGGGCGTTATAATGAATCTCATTATCTTCTCAGCTGATGCCTAAACTTTCGAACCTGATACTATCCAGCAAAACAGAATAGGGGAACCTCAGTCAAAAACAAGATGGTGAGAGTAATACAGGGCTTCAAATCCAGATCAAAGTGGGTTACTATATTATATCCTGCTATTTTTTTCCCTTTAATTAAACGGATAAAAATAAAAAAGTAAATAATGGAGTGGAGATTGAGAAAAAAGAGGGCATAACAGCGAAACAGGACAGATCAAAACATAACCATTTAAGCAGAATAGTGTTTCACCACCAGATATTTCCGACCCAAAAGTGTTACCATATTGCCTCTTTCCTTGAAGTCCTTGAATACAACTTCGTATACTATAGCATTAAGTATATCAAAACAATGTAAAACCATTTAAGAGAATGACAGCATTATAGAGTATTTAGAATCGACTAACAGAAAATGAACAATGGTTTCTGTATAATCTCCTTGTCTTTAAAAGGTTTTTGCTTATACTATCGTACATAATAAAATCCAATAAGATATAACCTGTTTAGACCATTGGAGACAGAAGAACAAAAGCTAGATGAGACTTCAAAACAAGATGGTACTAAATCAGTATTACCTATTAAGATGTCATTTTCTCCAAAATAGCTGTTCCTATCATCCAATCTTCTCTGCCTCATTTCTGTTGAGCTCTTTTTCTGTCAGTAGCTGTCAGTTTGTCTTCTTCATTTTGTTCTCTGCTCCATTCGTTGTGGCCTCCCCGCCACTATTTCTGGGTTCTTTGTATTTTTCTTTTTTTAGAATATCCTGCAATACTTTCTGTAGGGTTGAATTGGTGGTTGCAAATTCCTCCAGTTCCTCTTTATCCTGGAAGCACCTCGTTTTTCCATCAATTTCCAGGGACAGTTGTGCAGGATATCTCAATCTTGGCTGGAGATTATTATCTTTCAAAGCTTGAATTATTTCCCCCCATGCTCTTCGTGATTTGATGGTTTGTGCCGAGAAGGCTGCTGTAATTCTGATGGGTATTCCCTTGTAAGTAGTCTGTTTCTTGTCTCTGACAGCTTTTAATATTCTGTTCTTGTATTGAATTTCTGGAATTTTTATTATTATATGCCTGGGTGTTTCTCTGTTAGGGTTGTAGGTAGCTGGGGTCCTGTATGCTTCATACATCTGAGTATCTTTACCTTTTGCTAAATTAGGAAAATTCTCCTGGATTATTTCTGTGAGTAGCTTTTGTAGTTCACTTGTTTGTGTCCCTACTTCTTCTTTTATGTTCTTAATCCTTAAGTTATGGCTCCTTTTATCATCTTCTTGTCTTTGTATTATTGCTGTTTGTTTCTTTGTTATTTTTAAGAAGTTTTTCATTTCATTCTCCCATATTACAAGTCTGCCCTCCAGTTCAGATAGTCTGTCCTTAGTTTCTTTCAAGCTGTTATGCCAGTCTTGGATAGACTTCTTAATTTCTTGATAGTCCCTTTGAACCTGCTTCACATACTCAATGCTTTCTCTGTTTTCTCCATCAAGCAATTCTCCCCTCTTTTTCTGTTCTTCCATTCCACCATCTGTTTTTTCCTGGGTGGTGCTTAGCATTTCTCTAACTATTCTGCATACTTCTAGCTTCAGGTCGTTGATAATTTCATTCCTGAATTGGTCTATGAGGCTCTCTATATGGTGCTTAATGTATATTGGTGCGGTGTCCACTATTGCCTGTTTCTCAGAATTGGGGGCCGAGGAGCCTTTCTTGTTGCTTCCCTTCCCCATATTATCTGTTCCTTATAAAATGCAAGCTTACATAGGAGGCCAGGCTTCCCTGCCTGTCAGCCACAGCCTGATCAAATTGCGCTGGCTAGTTGTTCCCGCCCACCGCTGCGCACCAGGGAGTTGCGGAGGAGGCAGCCTACGCGGGAGTCAGTCGCTCCTCCGGGCCACCGTCAAGCTCTGGGATCTGGGTTAGGCCAGCCTACTGAGTCCGCCCGCATCGTCACGCAGGCCAGGCACTTTTCACCAATCCCGTCCGAGAGGGGAATGTGTGGCTGGAGTCGCCACCGCGCCCTGCTCTTACAGGACTGCCCGAGTCCAGAAAGTCCTCCGCTGGAGTCAAACTGTGGTAGGGGGTCAGTTTCTCACTCACCTCACCACCAGTCAGTTTTCGTGTACGCCTCCTTGTCCGTCCTGTTTTCGACTCCGTTCGCAGACTCCCGTTCCCAGAGCTTCTACGCGTCTCTCCTTGCCGAGCCGCTTGTGGAGGCAGCCAGCCGCTGGGCGGCGGGAAACCCAAATCGCGGTTTCCAATGGCGAGGGGTTGAGCCTCCACACCGAGCCTTTTCTGTTCCTATTTTAGTGCCAGGATTGTATTCTAAGTTGGTTTCTCTCAGCCCAGTTTGTTCCTGAGTCAGCAGAGCATATCTCTACCGGTTCGTGTCTCCTTAGTCCGCATCATTCCTGGCCTCTGAGCCGAGCCTTTCAGAGAGCCTCCGGTAGTTGCTGTTGTCTGTCCGCCATATTCTCAGTCTCTCATAACTCAACTCTTTAGCTGAGCTGGCATGATGTCCCTGATGCAATAGGTCTGTGACCATAGCCTAGTCTTTGTTTTTCTTGCTTTTCTAAAGGGTTATTTTGGCTCCTGGTTTTGGAGGTTCCAGTTCATGATCTGTTGGCCCCATCTTGGGATCTGGGCATCCTGCCATGACTGCATCATGCCAGGAATGTGTGGCAGAGCACAGCCAGAAAGCAGAAAAAAGAGGCCAGGGCCTCACAATTTGGGGGGTGGGGCCCACGCTGTGGTGGCCTAAAGATCGCTCCCTGGTGCTACCTCCCAGAGGTTGCATCATTCTGGAACCTCATAGTGCCACTTTGGGGAGCAGGCCATTAGCACAAGGACTTTGGGGTCATTCATATCCAAATTCTAGCAGTCGTGCCCCTCCCCATTGTGTCCAGGGACCAGCCCAAGCATGTTTGTGAAGCCATGGCCGTCAACCTTCCTCTTTAACATAGTTAGTTCTATACCTCTGCATCTCAGTAGACCCTATGCAGCAGTAGCTCAGGAGAATTCTACCCAGCTGGGCCCATGCACTCCTTATCTACAGCACTTTCAGGGCCATGCTGTGTTGAACAGCATGCTGGTCTCTTGACAGGAGTAGTCGCATGTACCTTGACACAGCTTTGGTCTTTTTAAATATGTGTTGGGGTTTTTTCTTCTGTCCTTGATGATGCTGCTAACATTCTCTACAGGAATAACATTTATTATATGAAATACTAAATATTTTCTTTCTTTTCAGGATGAACTTGACCTTACAGACAAACACAGGGAAGCCATGTTTGCACTTCCAGCTGAGAAAAAGTGGCAAATATACTGTAGCAAGAAAAAGGTAAGGTATCACTGTGATTATTACTGACTGCACAATTACAGCTTTTGATTCCATGAGTTCTCCCTTTTCACCAATGGAACTCAACTCCTTATCATGTATAAATCAGATTGAAAGTGTCATTTAGCCTTGGTATTATAGGTGGCAAAGTGTTAGCCCCTTGTCTGTTGCTTCCTTGGTCTTTCCGGCTATTACTAGTTTTATGAATGACTGAGAGCTCAAATAACATTGGCTTATAGGAGATAGAGGAGCCCCCAAAACCTCCTGTGACTGCCTTCTATAGCATCTTCACATTTGGGGATTTCAAAGGTGTGACCTTGTCCTCATGGTCACACTAGAGAACCCGAAATGGTTCTCTAGTCATTTCACAATACACATGAAGAACGGAGAAAAGGGAGAGAGGGCACATCCCCTGCTCCACTTCTCAGGAATTGTGTACCTGCACCCTCTCCTGTCACACTGTTAGGAATATACTGTGCCCCACTGTAACAGAATCGATTCTGAGTGATCATTTTCCCCAGGAGATGGGGAGAATGGGCATGGGGCACCGAAGAAACCGAAAGCTCTAACTCCCTAGCATTCGTGCTACATGGCGTTACTGTTCCTTGCACCTTTAGAAAGAAAGTTCACTCTGACATCACCTAACCCCCTGGCAGATCCTTACACCCAGTTTTTTTGTTTGTTTGTTTTTTGGGTTTTTTTTGGACTAATCCTGTTGGTAGCCACCTTTTGCCACTTTTCCCTTGTTTCCAAGAGAGATGCGAAAGCAAATAGGTACACAGGAAAGGCAGACTAGGAGAAGTGCCACCTCTCCACAACAGGCAGCAGACACTTGGATTAACCACTGCAGGCCTAGGAAACAGTGCCAAATGTTAATAACCGGGTATGTTTTTAAGACCCCAGATCAGTCGGCAGAACCTCTGTTCAGTGTCGGTGTGTGCCTTGGTACCTCTGCATGCCCACCCGGCTGTTCCCATGCCTCTGCCCTTGCTCAGCTGCACTTGTCCCCAGGAGCACCTTCCGTTTCTCATTGCAGACACTCCACTGAGCCTGCAACAGGTCTCTCCCACCACCTGTTCTTAGGCTTCTGGCTCTGAGGCAGTGTCAAACTCACTCACCTTTGCACCTCTAGCATCTAGTATTTTGAAACAAATATATGCTGACCGGATTCCAAAATTGTCAGTAGTAGTATACTGAATACTGTCTGAAAAAACTTAAAGCATATTTAATTTAATTTTTCATCTGAGCAGTGGTAACTGATAAAAGTGTGTGTCATATTTGGCTCCAGTGCCCTCCACTAAGAGATGTGTCCAACTGTAATCTTTCAGTATGATCACTGAGCTGTTCTCAGATCAGACTGAAGTCTTAAGGGTCCTTATCTAGTGGCCAGTGGTAAAATGTTTTTGTCCATCAATATGTCATACTCTCCCCTCTTCTCTCAATCTTTTGAACATCTCTCCAACCCGAAACACTTGAACAGACTGTCATGGCCCAAGAAACATATAAGACAATGGGAAGGAATTTTTGAATTAAAATACAATGTGTTTGTTCAGTCCTGACACTAATGGTACTGCCTGGTCTTTGGGATCAAGGAATCTTTCTCTAGGACTGAGAAAGAAAAGTACTCTAAATGCCTATGTATACAGAGGACACTGCCTATTTTGGCTCATTTTAATGCAGATTTTTTCCCTCAAAATGAGGAAATAATATAAAGAAGGAATTGAGAATATACACTAAAGGAAAGGAAGGTACATACAAGTGGGAGCAGCTTGCTAGAAGGGAAGTTTTCTTCTTTCCCAGATTTTATTACACCCTTGACAGCAGTTGAAAGTTAATCATGGAAACTACTGCCCCTTACATTAGAGAAAGCAAACCCTAGAGAAGAGTAATGACCTCAGTGTTGCAGCTGCTGCTCATTTTTCAAGTTCCAGACCAGCTGAATTCCCCCACAAGACTGGTTTCCAGTGTGTATAATGGGGCTGACTTTTTGTAGGTGAATAGCCGTGGATGTGGACAGGAGGCTCTGAATCCCATTCTTCGATGGGTGGTGGATGGGCCCTTCTTCTTGATAGGCCAGATTGCACGGTGTGGGGAAGGTGCTTCTGCTAGCCTCATTCCAGCAGTTTGGATTCCTCCCATGATTCAGCAATGGCACACCTGAGTGGGAAAACCATTTTAACTCTGTAGGGACTCCTATGGGCTTATAGATCTATCTTGCTTTGAAATGAATGGTAGCATTCTTGACTCCAGATTTTCTTGTTTAGAACTTCATACAGTGTTAAAACTATCCATGCCTGTGCTCTGCAGCTGAATTCGTGGTGTACTGAAATAAATCGGGAAATGCATAACGAATACAAAGACCCAAAAACTTAGCTAGGAAGGGGTTTGATGTTTATCTCTGCAGATAACATGGTGCCCTGAGGAACATTCTCAGAGCAGCGCAGCATGATGGCTACCCTTGATATTAAGAGATTATTTTCCTCAGAATATCACTTGTGTAACTTTCTTTGATCGGGCTTATCACCAACAAGCCAAACCATATCCATTTCTCAGGCTGGGGGAAAGCTATACCCGTGGCCTCTTCCAATTTTCCATCTTTTGAGAGGGAACCCAGGGCATTGTGGACATTCTTCCACATAGTGAAGCCGTAGAGTCAGGGTCCTCTGAAGCCAACAGAAACAGACTGTGGGAGCTGGTAAAAGCAGGCTCTCTGTAAAACTGAACAGAAGTTGTGGAAACAAATAAGACATGGGCCTGTGCACAGGGCCAAGCTTTTTCTCAGCCAGCTGCCTCTTTCCCATCTGACAGACTTGGGACCTAGCAGCCGCTAATCAGCTTATCAGCTAGCTGTGTGTTCATTTACAAAACTTTTGTCTAAGTCTCTGGTTGAAAACTTAATCCCAGAGCCAAAACTAAAGCAGCAAAAGTATTTCTGGGCTAAAATTATTGGGAGGAAGTTAATTGGAATTTCGCCTAATTGAGAAATCTGGGGAGAGTCAGAGAGGGACTCTGCAAGCCCAACTCAGTCTGTAAGTCACTGACTGACTGGTCAGCCCTGGGTCTTCACAGACAGCAATCCATTGCTCTCATGAAAGATCCAAAAAAGGTCCTGTTGTTTGGGTCAGGGGTATTTTTGAATAGGAAATGTTTGTGGTTCTTATCTTTAAAGGTAATTCCCTTTTTAGTTCCAATTACAACAAACCCTTTTGTTTAAATGAGGTTTTTCCCAGTCTCCAGCCAGAAACTGCATCTGTTAACAATCTTTTGGATTTTAAACTGAAGCTTTTTAAACAATGAACCATCTGACCACAAAAGGCATCTGGCCATACTGTATTTACTTATTACTAACATGATTTTTAAATCCTGGGAAAAGTCCAGAGTCAGTCTTACGGAGAGGTGAGATAAAGTGTGTGCAATGCATTGTGCCAGCAACAAGCTGATCTGCACAGGAAGATGTTTTCTTTAATTGCTGTTCTTCCCAGGAGGAGCCCGGTATATTAGTCTGTCCTTTAGTGAGTCCTTATAATTACTCAGAAGATGTTTTTACCCTTTTGTGGGCTTCAGAGTTTGCAGAGGAAGCAAAGGGAGGCTGTAGACACTGTCAGCTGTAGTGACGTGTTTGAGGGAAGATCAGGATTTAATGATTGTGCCTAATTTTTCCTCCTTTATTTCTGACCTCTAAAGCCAACTTTTAAGTAAATAATATTACATTCTGCATTTTATATTCTGTGTGTTTTGAGAGCTACTTTGGGGAAGGTGAATTTCCACTCTTGCTGAATGTGTGTTTGATTCTAGCTAAAGTAAATCACTCAAGAATCTTGCCTTTCTTGGCTGTAGTTCAGGTGTTGTGTTTTCTGCAAACTGCTGAGCTGGTGCTGGTTCCAACACCTTTTGAAGAACTTAAGGGAAAGTGGCTGAGAATGAAGCTAGTAGTTTTCACTGATTCTTCTTATTTGGTTTGTATATCCTCACTGAATCAATCCCACACTGCTCCCCATGAGAAGGACTTCTCGCTGCCCCACACATGCTCACAGATAGGAAGGTTGTGTCGTGAGTGGGTATCAGGCTGTGGTTCTTCCACTTCCTTCTGTGTCTGAAGTGTAGGGAGCCAGTAAATTGATCAAAACACAGCTGAAAGAACATATGCTAAAGCAGTAGGATTAAAGATAAAAGGGACCTTCAGTTTCCTCCACAATTGTTAGTAAACCAGCTAGAAAATGAAGAGGTGAGTGGAGACATTAATCCTTGTTCCCAGGATCCCCCTGAGAAGCTGCTGTGATTGCTCTGTGAAGAGCAATAACTGTATTTGACCTGAATATTTTAGAGTGGAGCTAAGTTAGGTATCCTTTTCTTTCTTTTACTGTGTTTGTTTAAACACATGATAGAGTGAGTGAGCATTGATTTGACAGGTGTCTACTCTGCTAGATAGCAAGACACTTTTTTTTCAGTGATGGGAATCAAATCTCAGGTCTCACACATGCTAGGCATGTGCACTGCCCTTGAGCTCCACCCCCGCCCCTGTTTTTCAGCTGCTTATGGAGTACCTGCTCTGGTCTCCTACCACAGGATTGTTGACCTGCAAATGAATTCAGATTGGTGTTTGTGTTCTTAAATGATGAGAGCTTTTAAAAAGTGGCAGAAGCCATCCTGATAGAAATGAAATTCACCTGTCCTCCCTCTACCTTTCTAACGAATGTGTAAGGGATGTCCAGCAGCACCTCCAGACTCTGCAGGCTCAGAACTCTGTGTCTGCCCTTGCATTGAGAGATGAGGCATTGTATGTAATCCCTCATTTAAGCAGTAGGAGATAACAAGCTTTGGGTATCTGGTGTTTCATTCAGCCAAGTGGCGCAGTTGGTCGAGAGCAGGTTGGTACAAGTTGTGTACTGAACATCTTCTCTAAGGAAGACTCTTGGCCAGATTCTGAAGGTGATTAAATAAATAAGTTAGATTTCCTGGACAGGATGGTTCTGGTAGGAGAGGCAATAAAACCAAATGATTGC